TTTTCCATAACATTTGGAGAATTTTATATCACATCAAAGCAAATGAACACAGGAAAACAGCGACAGTGGCTAAGATATACTGCCTGGACTATCAGGGCGAAAGCGCAATATAATTTTACAGATAAAAATTGCATTTACTGCATTTATTGGGAGATGAATGTGAATGTAGAAACCACCCAGAGGTTAGTGAACTCCCTGAAATCAAGGAAAAATATCGTACTTTCGGTAAAAGTATAGTAAAAAATATTTTTTTTATTTTCATTTGACTTTTATTTATGGCCTATTGAGTTGAAAAAGCATCTCTTGTATATGTAGGACCTTTTCAATTATTAATATAATGCGCTATGAAAGCTTGGATACATTAATGGTTGCTACGTCGCTAAAAAATTGGGAACCGTAAATGTTGATTTTGGGACGTTATCGTATTCAGGGTTTGTTATTCCCCAAAGATATAAAGGTAACTAAAGCCTTCGCATTAATTATTCATTATTTTCGTTTTTTATCTGCATATTTCCATGTAAAATCAGAATCAGTCTTGCTGAACATATCATCGTCAATTCTCTGCTGACAGACAATTTAAAGTATGTAGCACTTGGCCTTGACGCAATGTTACTAGAATGTAATCAATTTTTTTTGGATTGGGTAGGTACATACTGTTAAGAGTAATTTACGCAAATTACTTATAAAACGATATTTAAAATTGAAACGAAAAAAAAAATGAATTATTTGTTATGAGAACCGGATTTACTTCCTCATTTTCGATTTTATTAAAGAAAAATAGCGATCCAGAGTTCTTAAAAAGTGTTATCGGATTTTGACAAATGAAACGCATTAATTTTAACTTACCGAGACGATGGAAGTTTGGATCTTTAATTCAAATTAAAAAACTTCGCTTAAACTAATTGAACTGGAAATAGGGAAGGAGATGTAATTGAATGATTAATATAAAGGGATTATTAATTAAATATCTTCATCCCGGTGGTAATGCTATTTTTGTAATTAGCAACCTTTTCTACTATTTTTTAAAAACCTGAAAGGTAAAAGTTTGTACGAATTTACATTCCTTTTTGTGTTATGATAAAGCATGTCAATCATATGTATCTCGAGTAGGTTATTGATCAATAATTAGATAAGGAAAAACTTTTTGGAGCTATTTCCATGTATTAACGAGGAAATTGGAAAGGCTCTCATTCTAAAAGACAATGGTCCAAGATTCCAGAGTCACTAAACATGACTTGTTTTCTGAGTAACAAAATTGGTGGGATAGAACAGTGTTATTGATGTGCACTTTGGACATACAGTAGAAGGCCGATTATCCGAACGCCGATTAACCGAATCGCCAATTATCCGAATCGGTCCTAAGCGTAATATAAAAAATTAAAACCAAGCACTGTAAGTAAGTACATAATGTAATTTTTGTTTTGTTTTGTTTTGTTGTCANCAAGGCAGGAAATTGAATTTTTTAAAGCCCTGGTGGTTTTTTAATTTTAGAAGCTTAACAACTGAACCGAAAAATACAAGGGAAAAGCTGCTGTAGAAAAAAATTATAAATGCGATGATATATATCTACGGAATAAGAAATAAACGAAAATCTGAATGTTTGTATCAAGTTGAATTTCACTTTTTCACGAAACATGAATTTGGGATATTTTAGTAGGTGTACATAACAGAACTATGATTAGGTATGTCTACATATGCACGATACACAGAGACAAACGCAGACGGAGGTTATAAAAAGTATTAAAAAAAGTTTTTTTTTAGAATTACTTTTTAGAATTACAGTACACGAATTATGACTATTTATTCTACTTCCGTTCTTGTTCCACTTTCAATATTTTATTCGTTCAGTTGCTGGAACAGACGGAACGTTTGTTTTTTACTTACATATTGTAGAATTGAGTTTGTTAAACTTAATAAAGTTTATTCTATGTGTGATAGTTCGTTTTTCTTTATTACCAGTCTATGTCCGATTATCCGAATTTTCGATTATCCGAATCGACCCCGGTCCCAATTAATTCGGATAATCGGCGTTCTACTGTATGTACTTTCTGCTAACTTGGGCCGATTGCCAATGTATACATGCATATGAAATGCTAAAAATACGTAAAAATATTACTCGTTTTTATTAGTTTGAGTACTAATATTTACAGGATATTCTCAAAAACAATCAACACTCCTAGACACTTTCGGTTAACGGTTATTTCTGCCAGACGCTTAAAGTTCAAAAAAAATCGTAATTTTACTTATAGGTCTTATACGAGGCTGTTGTCATCTCTCGTAACTTAATGGTCATAGCATTGGTCCATAAAACGAATAGTCTCGGGTTCGATACCCGGCGAGAGTGTGACAACACATACATTGGTATAAATGGAACAAATTTTCACATTAATATTTCATATATAAACTACTATTAAATATCAAAATGTTCCATATATGGGTAGTTCTACAAACTAAGGAATTTTCGGCGGCTCAGCTAAATTATCCTGAAAAATTTGTTACAAACTAATTTATTTGTATAACATACTGTAAAACTAACCTATGTCTAGTTGGTCTCTAAAAATAATTTAGATTTAAAATTATTTTCTTGACGAAATTACTATTCAAAGTGCCAAATTCTCAGGAACCTGCAGTGTCCCTCAAACAAAATCTAATCAAAAGTGTAATGTGATTTATTTACTACCACATTGAGGACAAAAATGAAACCAAAATAAAGAAGTACTTATTATATGTTCTTGCCTGGGAGACATATTATCATTTTATTGTCGTAAAAATATTATAAAATCCTTTTCCAAAATTTGTCCCAACGGTTTTATATCAGGATCCTGTTCAATGTAAAATAAGTAAATATTCAATATTCTATTAACCGAGAGACGTTGTCGTTCAGTTGAGTTAATTGTACCTACGAAAGGGGCAAAGAATACCACCTATTTTTTTGCACCTAGCGTGTTGTTCAGTCAGCCTGGCACAATCAAAAGAGGAAGTCGCGTCGTAATCAGTCGAGTTCACAGGATCCTGGTAAGATATTTACATACTAAATAAATATATAATATGGTAATTTTAGCGTTTTGATATGTAATTTGCTTACACCAAGGCTTAGTTCTGCTTAATTTTGGTTGAATGTTTTTTAATCGATGTTTTTTTTAATATTATTTAAAAATTCTCAGGAACCTGGTCTCAGGATCCTGTCAAATTGAGACCCAGAATACTAAGAACTATCCAGGGTCCTGAGAAGTTTATATTTAAATGCTGTTTGTGTGCAAGATAATTTGCAACTTTTTAGCTATACACTATAAAGTCAGAATAATAAAACGAACGATAGTGTAGTTACATACAAAACTTCGATAGTTTAAAAAAATTAAAATTAAAAGAAAAATGCAGAAACCAAAGAATAAACAGACTAAGGAGGAAATATTAGAAAAAAAAGGATAGCTGAAAAATTGAGATATGAAAAAATAAATAGTGATCCTGACAGATTAGCGGCTGAAAAAGAAAAAAAAAGCAAGAGTATAAAAAATTGAGAGAAACTGGCAAAAAAACTAGTATCTGAAATGTCGGCTCGTGAAAAAAGACAAGCTCGCAAAAATTGGAGGCAATAATCAGACAAATCTTACAAAAAACAAGTCTATGGCCAACATGACAAGTCAATTTGTTATTTAAAAAGTTGATTTCGGTTGGTTTTATTTTTTTTCCTCAGTTTCTTGGTTACACTCTCAGTTTCCTGCCGCTTGATTTCCTTGAAATGGCCATAAATCCAAAATTTTAAAATATTTTGACTGTTCCACTTAACATAAGACGTTGTATTCTTGATAATAGACTAAATTTCGCAATTAGAATATACAGAAAATGTTGGGCCGAAATCAGACTCAGTTTCGTCCTTAGTTTGTAGAATAACCCATATATAGTATCAAAAATACTTTACTGTTTACAGAAAAATATTTTTAAATAGCTTATTTCAGTAATTCACTTTCAAATAATTTTCAGTGGTCCAGTTTTTGAGCTACCGAAGCCCGAACCTGGATCGCTAGTTGCTAATCGAACACCTTGTACGTACTTCTTGTCTCTTGATTAACTACCAAGTAACTTTTATATTAGGGCAGGTAGCTTGAAATATAGAAAACATGACATGCAAAATTACTCAGCTAAATCGACTGTTAGTGATGGGCGAAATTATCTTGTAGTAGCCTGCATTTTTCTCTAACATTTCGGAAAACATGAGTTACTATTCTACATACTGTGATTTAACGCTACGAGCTAAATATGTGATCTTATATATAGTAATTGACAAAGGTTTATATATATACTGTTTCGGTACCATCTGTAATAGTTATGATTAATTTCCATTTCTTCTTCATTTTTAAAATATTGTAGGAAACTAAAACAAGATGGGGGTAAAATCAATTTTGTTTTGCAGGCAACATCCGACATTTCGCCTCTTATAAGTAGTGTAATTAGTTTATTAGTTTAAAATTTTATTTTTTTAAACAGTTTTTAAATGTGAAGTTTTATGTCTCTACGTGGTTTCAACTATTAATTATTTTATTAATACGTCTTCATCTACATCTACAAAATTATGTATCGTTATGACATCCGGGATCTTCTGCATGATATAAAGAACCAGTTAATTTACAAACAACCTTAAAAAAAGTTGTGCTGAAAGACGAAACGTCGGTTATTGGTCATATTACATTGGTTTTGTCTCTATCTTGACTTACATTCATACCAGAGCAATAATTGGGGTAAATGATGCATAATAATCATTAATATTAGTAGTTTTATAAAAAATAATAAACTCGTAATTTTAACAATTTTTTTATTTTACCACGACAATTGTTTCGCTAACACAGTAACTTTTTCAGATGGAGTGTTTATTTATCATTTTTTATAAAGTTATGAATTTTCACCACAATTAAATGTCTATTTCACCATGTATTTAGAAGTATTAGTAGCCCTGAGACAGTACAAAATTTGAAAGGAAACAAAGTTGCTTTTGCAATTCTTACCTTCACAACAAGCCCTTCAACTTCTTTATCGTAACGAAGAGCAAAGTGTAGTTTTCCACAATACTCCATTTCAGGACCAGTGCTCTCTACCGACGACTGTCGAACGACTTCCTTTTTATAAAGCTCAGGCTGTAACAAAAGACGAAATGTCGATTTCACAAAATCACTTTCCGTAAACAGTTCATTCAAGTCTCGAAAAGCATTCAAAAGAATACTGAAACCACTTCATCCACCATTATTATCGTTAAATATACTTAAAAAGAACAAATAAAAGGGATACTTGTAAGTAGTGGAAATCGCTTATAACTTATTGTAAAGAGTGAATAATCTTCATCAACACAATATTTCTCTTAAATGCCGAAATTTTCGGTCATACATGCGACCTTGTCATGTCTTTTAAAGAAAATAGTGTCAATAGATGTGAAAGTTATGAAAATTCGAGAACTTACCTTTCTTCCAATGCATAAATTGACCCTTTTTCTAACGCATAAATTGGCCTTTTAGCAAACAAAATTGTACAAGGTACTTGAAAGAAGTAAAAAATATCGATAAAAAATAAGTTTATCTTCATATTTCAACCAGACATAGGAACAAAGAACACTTACTCCGAGGACATTTTTGACGATCCCTTTTTTTAAACAGTGGTAAAGTTTCTTTTTTTATATTTAGTGTTAAAATGTAGTAGAGCAAACTAAAAATGTCAAATACTAAAAATGTTTTGTTCCAAGAAAAGAATATATTAAAGTTGCTTCATAAATCCTCGGGAAGTAATAATTTTTCAATTAGTCTTGTGTATTTGGTCTTGGTGTTGCATATTCGGTTTGATTTTAGTATTGGTTTGCTAAAATAACGACACTTCTGGTTTTGGTCTTACATTTTCACAAGACTAAAACCATGTCTGCAAGACCAACATCAATTTTGCTCATCACTCTTTCAGAAAAATTGCTGAACTTTTTTATGTTTTATATGAGTTGATGTTTTTATTTTATTTTAATAAAAGCTACTTGTAAGTGTTAAAGGTGTCGAAGTTTACAATTCAATCATACTAGTGTAACCGCTTTTAAATCCGCACCACCAACATTTAGCAGATCAACCCCGGTAAGTTCAGTAACTTGTCGTAGTACCGCTAAGGAGGGCGCCACGCGGAATCCGTCGTACGACTCACCAACCACACTAGCACGGAAGGCTACCAGTGTTCGGAACCGTACGATAATTATCGTACACATACGATAATTTCATGTCTACGTACGATGTACGATATCATATTATTATCGTACGCAGATTGTACGATAATTTTCATGCATTCAAAATTTATTTTATTCTTACCCTCTCAGATAATATCACGAAGACTACTTTTTATTCGCGTATATTTTTTTTCTTTTTGCTCGCAGCGCTATAAACATTTTTGTTATTCGCAGTGTTAAATTTAGAAGAACGTGCCTGCAACAAAGGAATGTTATCATGCTAGTATGTAGGTTTTTCCTTGGCAGGTAACATCCCTTCGTGTTGGTCACCAGATGGGTCGATGGTCTTCCCATCCACAAACAATTTTGTGATTGTAGTCATGTAGTCATAGCCTAAGTTCAAAAACACCCCACTAACATACCTCCACCCCCTACATCTTCTTATATTTAAGTATTTTTCTATATATTATTGATTTTTAAATTAAAGGGTGGGGGTAGTTCAGGTCTGTCTCAAATGTAAAAAATATAGTTAAAAAAGATTGTAAATAGTTTATGAGTACAAATTAGTTACGAAGCATACGCAGAAATATTGATATCGCGATTAATACGAGTAATTTATGAATTATAGTGATTATTTTGAAAAGTACGATAATTTTGCTCCATGTACGATAATTCTACGCTACTGGTACGATAGTTGCCTCGCTTCAGGTTGTGAACACTGAAGGCTACCCTTTCTCAGTACCACTATCCCTGGCAGTACCGCGCTGAGTTACCCCTACCTAGGCGAGGGTGAATAAAAGGATTTTCCCGCTCTCAGAATAGAGACAGAACTCTACCTGCAGCTCTTCTAGCAGCTTACCAGTTGATGAAACCCTTAGCCAATGCGTTAAGGAAAAAAGACCATCGGTAGTGATCAGTGTGAAGATCAAAACATTGAGTCATTTTAGTCAGAGATAGACCCTTTTATAGGCTTCTAGATTATTCCTACTATAACGGTTTTCTGACTTAGTTTGTATAAGTGATACCTGTTCCTTTTGGTCAAGTTGGACTGTTCATTTGCTGCACGTTCATTTGTTAAAAATTTTAGATTAAGTTTTCGTTGTTATCTGCATACCAATAAGTTATCAGGTCTCACGCGGACTCACGTTAAAAACAAAAAAAACACCAAAAAAATATTGACTCTATCAATAAAATTTGGTTAAAGTGATCTTTGTAGTTGTCCTATTTTACCATTACGCTATATTAGCAAATAAATTTTGTGGTTCTGTTTAGATTCAGCGTTATAACCTAGATTTTAGAATTTGCTGTTTCTGGAAGATGCTGCTATATGTGCTTATATAAAATAGATATATATATATATAAGTATATATATATACAGTTGTTTTTCAAGGATGCAATAGAGTTGTCGTTCTGTGAGGATCACGGTAAACGGAATATGAAAGAAGCTTTTCAGAGTTCAAGGAAGACATTCTGATAGTCCGAAAAAGTTCTTGAAAGAATATTTGAAAAGCTTGAAATTAACCGATGCGTGAAATCGAAAATTAAACGAAAAGTCAAGAAATATACTGACAGCCTTTACAGTGTAATAGATTTAGAAGAAATGTACCCCATTATGAAAAATAAAGTATAAAAATTGATTCATGAAAATGTCAAGAATATGAGACTACTTATAATTTGTTTAAATAATTCACAAAACTGAGAAAATCAGTTGAATTTTACTTAAAATGTTGACTTACTTGTATAACTTAAAAATACAGATGTAACAGTTGTGTGTTATACACCGTTTATTGTTGATGTTGTTGTACAAATGTTTACTTCAAGAAGTAACCACAAGGTTGGATTCCGCTATTTTATCCTTTGAAAGTGAACGTAAAGTGAATCGGTAAACAGTTTGAAGGATAAATTAGATTTTAGAGGCTACAAGCTTCATAGGTTTTCTTTAGAGGCAGAAAGGAGTATCTTTTCCATTACTCGAATGTCAAACAAGCTTGAACTTGCCGCCAATAAATTAAGGACAATGGACAGACTCAAAAATTATTTTGCACAGAATTGTTGAAGAAAATACTTTCTGCTGACTTAAAAAACAACTAATTAAAAATTACAAATAAGTAAGTGTTGGCGACATTTTCCCTCCCGGTCGTCTCCGTCCTCGGCAGTTTTAAATTTTGGGACACGAGCATGTAAAAACATTGAAATATAAACATAAACAGTCTGGAGTTTCGAGGCCAACGCTATCGAAAGGGGTTTGGTGCTTTTTGAGGATTCATTCTGATATAGTCTTTTCGAATATACAGTCTAATTATTTTTCTAATTAGTAAGAGTTTCATTAATTTTGTTATTTTAAGAAAAAGGAAAAAAATAAAGGTTTTTAAATTCTTCGTTGTGAGTGTTATTG